ACCGCAGAAACGGCTAAATGACCGCAAATGCGGTACCGCAAAAGCGGTAGACTGGTCGTAGATGCGAAAATCCCTGGACCAAAGGGTATATATTGTCTTCTTCGCGAAATTTTGCTAAGTTTATCATTTTTGAGGACGGGAAAGGGGCTACGACATAGGATTTCAAGAGAAATCAAAGGATATCAGTTGGGTAAGTTCCCTACGCTTAATTACTTGGGCTTAAGATCATTTTTCCATTGTTTAATCATGGTTTTAGTGGAGATTAAGGAAGAAAAATTGGGGATTATGGCTTGAGTTTAAGAGACATTTAAATGGGGATTTGAGGGGTCATTTGGACTCCGATTTCATTATTCTTGATATGTATAGACTCGTGGGGAGATAAGGATTCAGTTGATATGAAAATTATCGAATTCCGAGATGTGGGTCCGAGGGTCGGGTTTTGGTAATTTCGGGATTTGTGTCCTTTATTGATTGTTTTCGCTTGGGCTTCGTTCCCTTAGCATATTTTGGCGTCCTAGTTCTGATTTTGGATAGATTCGACGTGAGTGGAGGTCGATTCGAGGGGAAAAGGCGTCGCGAGCTAGAGATTTGACCGGTTCGAGGTGAGTAATGATTGTAAATGATGTTCTGAGGGTTTGAAACCCCGGATTGCACATCGTAGTGCTATATTGAGGTGAGTCACATGCTTGATGACGAGCGTGGGGTCATGCACTACTGGGAATTGTGACTTGGTCCGTCCCGATTGATGATTTTACCGCGTATTTGACTGAAATCTATTTGCTATCATCATTATTTAGGCTGAATGCCATATCTGGGCTTCGTGCCAAGTATTTGAACCCTTCGAGGATTTTTATTGATATTTCCTCACTATTTTGACTTTATACTTGAATTCAGTCATGTTATTTTCCACTGTTTTCATACTCAGCCATGTTTACTCAGTTTAATATTTAAATGATATTTTAAATGATGTTTGGGCTGAGAAACACTATTTTACTATCGCCCGAGTGGCTTGTGAGGATTTTTGACTGAGTAAGGCCGATGTATGTTGTGAGGAAACACTGATATTAATTTGAGGCCGAGGGTCTGAGATATATACACCATGAGGTGGCTTGATTGATATGAGGCCGAGAGCCTAGTTTGATGCCACAAGATGGCTTGTTATTGCGCCTGAGCCGTAAGGGGCCCCTCCAGGAGTCTGCACACCCCCAATGAGTGCGAGTACCCATTGTGATGTGAGATTGAGCCCGAGGGGCTGGTATTGTTCTGAGATATTGCCCGAGGGGCGGTTTTGTTGATACAGTGCCCGAGGGGCGAACTTCTATGTGTTTATTCTTCCTTAATCTACTTGTCGATTACCTGTTTACTTGTTGAAAAAAAGAATTTTACTTATCTTTTCACTGGTTTACTGATTTCAAATGGTTTTACTGCTTCATAATAGAATGCCTTGTGCCTTACGTGTTTTCTCGCTTTCAGTCTTTATTTACATTTGTTACTCACTGAGTTGGAGTACTCACTTTACTCCCTACACCCCTGTGTGCAGATTCAGGCGTAGCTGGTCCCGCTCCTGAGTGCTGATCCTTCCAGCTTCAGGTAGACATTCGGAGTTCACGAGGTAGTTGTCTGGCATCCGCAGTCCCGTGTTTCTCCTTCTTTATCATCTCTATCTCTTTCAGACAGTTGTACTAGTTTATAGACTTAGCGGAGTTGTATTATGACTTATAGATGCTTATGACTAGTGACACCTCGGTTAGGACTGTGTATGGGTGTTCTTCCGCATTCTGATGATATTATCTGCTACTTAGTATTATTAACTCGTGTTTTAGACTACTTTCTTTCCTTTTAACTATTTAACATCGAATTGGGGATAATTGGCTGGCCTTGTCTTTATGAGAGGCGCCATCACGACCGAGTCTAGGTTTAGGGTCGTGACACCATTGCATGAGTCTGGACCATATATTTCTACTATATGCACCTTTTTCAAAGATGTGATCCCTTATTTCTGGTGCTTGATTGCAAAAGCAGCATGTATTCCCAGTTCTTCAATTTGTCAGCAGTAAGTAGTCTTCCCTGAATTTGTAGCCACATTGTGAAGATTGCTTTTGGTCGTGCTTGATTATGATACATTAATCCTTTCCATGGGACTTTAGGCAGCTCTCCTAACAGTTGCAAGTATACATGCTTGATTATATTCCTTTGGAAAGCTTGGCTATTGCTGATGCCATCTAGATTATCCCTTACTTCAAATATTTTCCTTACCATCCAAGATGCATGTTTTGGTGTTTACATGATGGTAAAGATTTGATCTTTAATGTAGTAGCTATGGATCCATTTAATACAAAGCTTATCTTTCTTGTTTTCCAATTTCCAACATTTTTTTGTGATTGCTGCCTTATTCCATAATGCCAAGTTGATCAAGTTAAGTCCCTCTGTTGCTCTAGGTACACATATTCTGTTCCATGATGCTAAAGCTCTTTTAGTGATTATATTCTCCCCCGACCACACGTAGCTTCTGTAGTAGGCCTCTATTGCTTTGATAATTTCAGCTGGTATGATGAAGATGTGTGCCCTATAAGCTTGAATACCAAATATTACATGTTGCACCAATTGGATCTTGCCTGCATATGAGAGCTTTTTTGCTGTCCAAGAGGATATCCTAGCCACTATTTTGTAAATGAGTGGCTGCCATTGCATTATAGGGTATTTCTTTGTGTCAAGTCGTATACCTAGATATCTGAAAGGGAGGGATCCTTGGCTATAACCTAGGTGTTGTTGTATGTCATGCTTGACTTGTAGGCTGACTCCCCCATAGTAAATCGAGCTTTTGGCTAGGTTAGCTTTAAGACTTGATGCTGCTGAGAAAATGTTGAATCTGTCATGTAGTAGTGCTATAGATGTTGCATCTCCTCTTACAAATAGTAAGAGATCATCCGTAAAACTCAAATGAGTTAAATCTAGCCTTGAACACATGGGATGATAATGGAATGCCTTTTCCTGCTTCAAAGTCTTTAAATTTATGCTCAAGTACTCCATTGCTATAGCAAACAAAAGGGGGGACATTGGATCCCCTTGCCTCAACCCTCTAGCTGCATCAAATGATTTAGTTGTTTCTCCGTTGATGAGTATAGTATAGTTAACAATTGTCACACATTCCATAATCCACTTAGTGAATTTGTTTGAGAAGCCCAAACCTTCTAGCATTTGCTATAAATACCTCTAATACACTGTATCATAAGCCTTTTAGATATCCACCTTGATGGGACATCTTGGTGAAATGTTCTTCCTTAAATAAGCCTTGACCAACTCATGAGCAATCAAGACATTATCAGCCCCTTTTCTACCTAGGATAAACCCTGCTTGTGCATCTGAAATTATTGAAGCAATAACTTTTTGAATTCTGTTGGCCAATACCTTGGCAATGAGTTTATATAGTACTATGCAACAAGCTATTGGTCTGTATTCTTTGATGCTTGAAGGGTTAGGAACTTTAAGAAGTATTGTGATGTTGCGTAGTTGATTGTTCTGTATAACTTCCCTATTTGAAAGAATTCCTTAACTACTTGACAAATTTCTAAGTTTATAAGAGGCCAAATAGATTTGAAGAATAATGCATTATGTCCATCTACCACTGGTGCTTTATCATCTCCAATAGCACACAACCCTTCATATATTTCTTGTTTTGTAACTTCAGCATAAAGACTGATCTGCTGCATATGATTGAGCATTGGTCTATGTTTTATCACCTATTTGTTTAGTGCAGGTAATTGGGTTGTAACTTATCCCATCAGGGATTTAAAAAAGGTAATGATCTCTTCTTGGATCTGGTGATGGTCTGTTAGTCTATCTTCAAAAGCATTGACAAGTTCTATGATGACTTTTCTTTGTCTCTTTCCTTCATAATCGCTGAAAAATACTTGGAGTTTGCATCTCCTAGTCTTATCCATTTAGCTTGAGCTCCCTGTTGAAGGATGCTTTCTTCTATTAATGACCATTTTTCCAGATTCTCTATGAGTTGTTTCTCTTCAGCAACTAGTTCATCTAAGTAGCAACTAAATATTTGATCTTGTATCCCCTGCAACTTATTTATAATTTGCTCCAGTCTTTCTTTGATACCTCTAAACTCTGTGTTATTTAATTGCTTCAGTAATGGCCTTAGAGCGTTCAGCTTGTACCAGACATTCTTCATAGGATTTGAATTATGATGTTCTTTCCATATTTCTTTTACCAATGCCAGGAAGTTTGGTAGGTCTACCCATACATTGAAGAATCTAAATGGAATCTTACCACTTAGTTCTACTCTCCTCATTGTTATTACCATCAGATCATGATCTGAAATAAATGGTAGTCTGTATTCTACTTCCATGTGCCCATATGTTTGCATACAATCATCATTTCCTATAGCTTTATCAATTTTGCTATAGACTCAATCAGCACCTTGTTGCTTGTTTGACCAAGTGTAGAAATCCCTTTTTCAAGGTAACTTATTCAAGTTTAACACATGCATACAGTCTGAAAAATCTTGCATTCATTGCTTGTGACTAGATTACCATAAAGCCTATCTTGCATTGTCAAAACTGAGTTGAAGTCTCCCCATATGATCCATGGTTTAGTGCTTTGTGGTGCTAAGACTTGTAACAGTTGCCACAATGGTTTCCTCTTATGAATGGTGTTGAATCCATAGACTACTGTCATGAAGCAGTTCATTGGATTCTTTCTGCCAACTATACTACAGTGCATTATTTGAGCAGATTGATATAGCATTGTTATGTCATAAAAGTTCGGATCCCATAACATTCAAATCCTCCCATTAAGTGCATGATCATAATTGTACCCCATTTGCCATCCTGGTGCCACTAGATGAGTTATATGGTTAGTCTTATCCTTCTTAACTCTAGTTTCTACTAAACCAAATAACTTTATATTATTCTCTTTTATATAGGTACACAACTCTTTCTGTTTGTATCACTTGTTGGTACCCTTTATGTTCCACACCATTGAAGACATCAAGTATAACGAGCTTGACCACATGTGCCAGGTGGTTTCAAGTTAGCCATCACAGCTAAACTTGTTTGTTGTTGTGGCCCTTGTTTCCCAGGAGATAGTATTGCTTTAGCATAGGTCATTGGAACCCCATTGATCTCAACTGCAATCTTCCCTTTTTCTAATTGTCTTTCTGGGCCTTCCTTTGATAGCTGCTTGTCCTCCAGATTCTCAGGCTGCTCAGAAGTACACTCTACCTCCTTGCTTAATTATTCCACCTGTTTCTGACTTACCTCTGAAGTATAAGCCACTGTTGCTTATTTAGTTTTCCATATCTGCTTCACTGGTGATGGTATTTTTTTCCTGGGTTGTTTATCTTATTTAACTCCCTCTTTGGGAGTTTTTGCACAGTCATGTCCAATTTTAAGACACCTTTCATAGAACTCTAATTTCCAATCATATTCAACAACCTGCTCAAATATAGCACCTGAATCGTCCATAATTGGTACCTTGATTGGTAAGGGATTGGTACATTTACTTCAATACAGATTCTAGCAAAGGAAATTCTTAATTGTTTGGTAGTGTATGTCGCTCAGTGTCCTAGTTGCCAGCAAGTGAAGATAAAGCACCAGAAGCCCGGAGGACTAATGTAGACTATAGAGATCCCGACATGGAAATGGGAGGCGATAAACATGGACTTTATCACGGGTTTACCTCGTTCTCATAGTAAGTTCGATTCCATATGGGTGATAGTCAATAGGCTCACGAAATCAGCTCATTTCCTTCAGGTCAGATATACATATATAGCAGAAGATTATGCAAAGTTATATATTAAAGAGGTAGTGCGACTACACGGAGTGCCAATATCTATTATATCTGGCCGTGGGGCCCAGTTTACCGCACATTTTTGGAGGTCATTTCAGAAAGTTCTAGGAACTCAGGTGAACCTCAGCACAGCTTTTCATCCACAAACTGATGGACAAGCCGAGCGCACAATTCAGATGCTTGAGGATATGTTACGAGCATGTGTGATAGATTTTAAAAGAAGTTTGGATGAACATCTACTTCTTATCGAGTTTACGTATAATAACATTTACCACTCCAGTATCTAGATGGCTCCATACGAGGCTTTGTATGGGTGTAAGTGCAGATCTCCTATATGATGGTTTGATGTTGGAGAACATGGGCTACATGGGCCAGACCTGGTTCAGCAGGCCATAGAAAAAGTAAAGCTTTTACAGAAGCGACTGTTGACAGCTCAGAGTCATCAGAAGTCATATTCTGATGTGTGGCGACGAGAATTAGAGTTCGGGGTTAATGACTTGGTATTCTTAAAGGTGTCATTATAAAGGGTGTGATGAGGTTTGGCAAGAAAGGTAAACTTAGCCCACGGTATATTGCGCCATATAGGATCATTCAGAGAGTGGGCCAAGTAGCTTATGAGTTAGAATTGCCCTCGGAATTAGAGTCTGTCCATCCGGTATTTCACGTATCTATCTTACCCGAGTGGTGCCCACGGATAATGTACAGATTACAGAGGACTTGTCATACGAGGAAATTCTGGTTGCCATCCTAGACCGACAAGTCTGCAAGCTACGAAGTAAGGAGATAGCATCCGTAAAGGTTTTATGGAGAAGAAAAAAGGTGGAAGAGATAATGTGGGAAGCAGAGGAAGAAATGAAGTCTAAATACCCCCACCTAGTTCAAACTGAAGATATGGCTCGAGGTAGGATACCTCAGCACACCTCTATTTAGGCCAGTAGGTCATCAAGCAAGCTCTTATTTTTAACTCTCGGAATTTATAATGAGCAGTTGTGTGGAGCCAAGTTTTGCTATTTATAGACAGTGTCCATGTGTGGCATGTATAGTATGTTTTCTGGCTGCGTATAGGTTGGTTTTAGTCTAATATATGAAAGAGACTCCGGCAAAAAAATTCCCAAAGTATCTAAGAGTAGACATTCGAGGACGAATGTTTCTAAGGGGGGATGATGTTACATCTCGCGTTTTTCGTACGTTAAAGTTTCGTCTTCAGTTAATTAACATAGACTCAGAGATGAGATTATCTGTAGGTTAGCATATTTATGCTACTTATAACAAGCAATAAGTAAGTGTCATGAAGGAAAGGTTAAACGAATTAAAGAAAATGAGTTTCGTTGAAGGTTGTCGAGTTGGGATAAAATACGAGTCGAGCTGTCACGCCCTAAACTAGGGGAGGCATGACTGACACTCGATATTGTATTCGATCAAGTTAGCCACTAAACATACTAGCTAACTAAACTGGGGGCCCAACAGATCGGGCAGCACAACATCTGAATTACTAAGCCTGGACTATTAAGGTCATGACCTGAATAACAATAAGCCACATAAACAAAGGTAGACGAGCCAAAATAATAAAGTACTAGCTGGCCGATGAGGTCGCGATTGGAGACATACATGCCTACACACATATATATACATGCCAACCCTATGGGCTGGAGACTGAAAGCTACAAAAAGAAACCCAAAATACTGTGTCCACAATAGCCTCTAAGAGTGTCATGAACACTGTCGGAACAAGGCCCCGACTATACCCAAACTGTACACAAAAGTAACCATCCAATGAAAGCTTCAGGAAGAGGTGGAGCTTACCGACTCACAGCTGAACCCCGAAATCATAGCGGAGGGGTCGATCAGAGTCCCTACATGTACTTGCACGCACGAAACAAAAATGCAGTGTCCCCATGCAACGGGACATCAGTACGAATAAAAATGTACGGGTATATAAGGCAGAAAGTAGAATTATACATAGCTGATGTAAAAAAAATAATAGTGAAACCACCTGACACTAAAACTCTTATAGCCTCCATGACCGACATCCGACCTCATAGTAATCAATTATGCATGGTATGCTCATGTAAGCGTATGTTGTGGCTACATATATATTGATGCAAAGGCATGACATACCCAACCAAATGCTAGCAATGGCGGTCTCTCCCGGTAGCTAACCGGTATCATATTGCCAACCTGAGGCCATCTGTACAATATATATAGTTTTTCGGGCAAATAGGCCTCTTACCTCCGATTATAGCTCAAAGTCCATGCATAATATGACATGTATGATATGAACTTTGAATGCACATAATAGGCCATAACAAGAACTTAGCCAATCTTGGCTCATAGGTACTCTTATCCTCATGATCTCATAATCACCTTCGTATCGCATACAATTGTCTCGTGGAACCTCATATGTTTTCTTTGAATAAATAAACTTGAAACTTAACTCGACTTTTATAAAGATAACTTAACTCTGAAGATGTTCATAAAAAGCTTAAGGTGCTTCACTTAGTCCTTATACCTGATTTCTTGATAATTAGTAAAGGAAAGTATATCAAAAATCAAGTGTTTTAATAGTTTAAACGTAAAATTTATAATTGAGATTTTTGGAAATCGATGTGTCACTTTAGAGATTTTAAAATATACTTAACAAGGAAGAAGGACTGATCGTAAATACTACATGCCTTTATTTTGTTTAGTCACACAACCCAAAGACGAATAAGAATACATATATATATAGACATATGGATAAGAAAACCGGCAAAATGACATATATAGATGTCGAATACCCTAATTAACTGAACGAGTGGAATATCAACCTAATCGCATCATGAAAATACTTCAGCTGCGATCCCAATGCCTTTCACAGAAGGTCTTTCTAGCAATAGAATAGTAAAATATCACATTTGACGTCTTAGGAATTTCCAAGAATTCGTGCAAAAAGGAAGGACGGAGCTAAGCCTTAACATACCTTCCCAACGAACGTCCGAATGCCTGTAGTTCCTTCACGAAAGTTGTTCCTTACGTCCTAAGCTTTGCAAACACTATATATATGCAGCTTATACACACCTATAAAAAGTTCAGAATTGAGTTTAAATCGGCAGATTTTCCATATGGCCCTAGCTTGACGAAACGTCCGTAGAACTTTGTAAAAACGATCATAAAAGAGTCCCAAGATGATTACCTTGGAAAACCAAATATAAAGCCTGAAGAACCATCAAGAACAACAAATTCCTATCTTCCAAATATAACTCCAAACACAGCTAATAGAAGGGGGAAACGATTGCAAAGCGTAGAGATTGAGTTTCTAGGCACGGGGACAAACTTTAACGGTAGAAATCATTAAAAACGTACCTTAATCACTCAAGAACACCATGGAACCCTCTATTCAGCTCCCTCACTGTTTTGGGACGAAAATGAAATGTTTTGGGGTCTTACAAGTCTGACTTGCCGACTTATACCACTTGTTTGACCCGACTCGGTTCGCGACCCGGTTTTAGCCTGGACAGTCCGGGGTAAAACAGTCATAACTTTTTATTCCAATGTCTGTTTGATGTGAGGTTTTTTTTGTGAACTAGACTTGTAGACCTTCAATTTGATAGGTTGTGGGTCCTATAACTCATTATATATTAGGAGAAATGATCTGATACATTTGACCCAAAGTTTAGAAAAATTATTAGAGAAGTTTACGAGAACCTTTGCCGATCTTTATTTCGCAACTTAATTGACTCCAAAACTTAACATGTGACCTGTGTTATATTATAATACCTCATAATACACTATTCTTTGCATATTAGACACTCTTAGTCTTATCCCACAGGTGCAAGTTAACTTAAACCTTGAACGCGCGGGGTGCTACCCGAGCCATTTCTTTAACCACGAACCTTTGTTTAAGGGATTCCTTTGACCTAAAGCTTTAGTTAGTTCCTTGATATTACCACACATTTTCAGTCTTATTCTCTCAATGTGCTATACCCAATTGTATATACCTAATATAACCACTGTTGATACCCAATTTTTTCCTATGTATTTTTATACAAAATACTTTTAAAATAGCATGTACATGCACATATAAGCATGCCCCAAGAGTTTTGGTATTTTGTCCCTAATTTTTAAGTTTTGAAATCAATTTATTGTCTATTTTAGCAGTGCAAAATCCATAATTATTCCCAAAATCATCAGTTTTGGTGAATAATTTATTTTATTCCCATATTTATACCACAATATAGTTAATATAATTTTTGTATATTTTTACAAATTTATTTGGTATTTTAGAAGCTAAATTGCATGTAATTGCAATTATAGCCTACTTTAAGATTAATAGCATTTTATAATTGTAAAATTGGTTCCATANCGTCCGTAGAACTTTGTAAAAACGATCATAAAAGAGTCCCAAGATGATTACCTTGGAAAACCAATTATAAAGCCTGAAGAACCATCAAGAACAACAAATTCCTATCTTCCAAAAATAGCTCCAAACACAACTAATAGAAGGGGGTAACGATTGCAAAGCGTAGAGATTGAGTTTCTAGGCACGGGGACAAACTTTAATGGTAGAAATCATTAAAAATGTACCTTAATCACTCAAGAACACCATGGAATCCTCTATTCAGCTACCTCACTGTTTTGGGATGAAAATGAAATGTTTTGGGGTCTTACAAGTCAGATTTGCCGACTTATACCACTTGTTTGACCCGACTCGGTTCGCGGCCTGGTTTCAGCCTGGACAGTCCGGGATAAAACAGTCATAACATTTTACTCCTATGTCCGTTTGATGTGAGTTTTTTTTAGTTGCGAACTAGACTTGTAGAACTTCAATATGATAGGTTGTGGGTCCCATAACTCATTATATATTAAGAGAAATGATCTGATACATTTGACCCAAAGTTTAGAAAAATTATTAGAGAAATTTACGATAACCTTTGCCGACCTTTATTTCGCAACTTGATTGACTCAAAAACTTAACATGTGACCCGTGTGATATTATAATACCTCATAATACACTATTTTTATCATATTAGACATTCTTAGTCTTATCCCACATGTGCAAGTCTTAAACCTTCCGAACGCGCGGGGTGCTACCGGAGCCATTTCTTTAACCACGAACCTTTGTTTAAGGGATTCCTTTGACCTAAGGCTTTAGTTAGTTCCTTGATATTACCACACATTTTCAGTCTTATTCTCTCAATGTGCTATACCTAATCGTATATACCTAATATAACCATGCCACGTTACATATATTACGTAAGAGAAGAGAAAAAAACACATGGGGTCTCACAGTCCCCCCCCCTTAAGAACATTCGTCTGTGAATGGGNNTTTTCCGCTAATACGTTATTTGCGAGGCTATATTTGTTACATTTGCAAAGCATAAATCAAATTCTGAAGATTCCAACTACTAGGCTTCGTATAGCTATCTCGCAATAAGAAATTTAAATTGCACTTTCTTGTCATTTAAAAATCCAATTAAGTATTGTAAAGAAATAATTGCCATTATTTAAATGCGACTCACCTTAAGTCGTAAATAGGTAGGGGTACTTCTTCCTTATTTCCTCCTCAGCTTCCCAGGTCATTTCCTCGATGTTGTTATTTCGCCATAACACTTTCACGGAAGCCACTTCTTTAGTTCGAAGCTTTCTTACCTGCCGATCTAAAATAGCTACTGGTACCTTTGCGTAAGATAAATCTTCAGCAATGCAAATATCATCAATGGGCGTAATACGTGAAGGATCTCCAATGCACTTCCGCAACATAGATACATGAAACACAGGATGGACTGCTCCCAATTCTGAAGGCAAATCAAGCTCGTACGCCACCCTACCAATCCTTCGAATAATCTTATACGGTCCAACATACCTAGGGTTGAGCTTCCCCTTCTTTCCAAATCGCGTGACGCCCTTCATAGGCGATACTTTCAGGAAAACCCAATCTTCTACATCAAACTCTAAGTCTCGTCGTCGAACATCTGCATAAGACTTCTGCCAACTTTGTGTTGTACGCAACTGGTTTCTAATAAGTATTTTACCTTTTCAATTGCTTGCTGGACTAAATTAGGACCTAGCAACTCTACTTCCCCGACCTCGAACCAACCGATCGTTGACCTACACTTCCGCCTGTATAGTGCTTCATAAGGGGCCATCTGAATACTAGCTTGGAAGCTGTTATTATAAGCGAACTCAATAAGAGGTATATGATCATCCCAACTTCCTTTAAAATCTAGCACATAAGCACGTAACATATCCTCAACTATTTGAATAGTACGCTCTGCCTGTCCATCAGTTTGCGGATGAAAAGCTGTGCTAAGATTTACATGCGTACCTAGACCCTTCTGAAAAGATTTCCAAAAATGTACTGTAAATTGAGCCCCTCGATCAGAGATAATAGATAATGGTACCCCGTGAAGGTGCACAATCTCCCGAATGAAAAGCTTGGCATAATCCTCGGCTGAATATGTCGTCCTGACTAGCAGAAAATGAGCAGATTTTGTAAGCCTATCAATAATTACCCAAATAGAATCATACCTCCATGGAGTGCGAGGCAAACCGGTGATGAAGTCCATATTTATCATGTCCCATTTCCATAATGGAAGTTCAATACACTGAGTTAGGCCTCCAGGCCTCTGATGTTCGACTTTAACTTGCTGGCAGTTAGGACATTGGGCTACCATCTCCGCGATATCCTTTTTCATTCCATTCCACCAATAGATCTGTCAAAGGTCCCGATACATCTTTGTCGCTCCGAGGTGAACTGCATATCTAGAATAATGGGCCTCCGAAAGAATCTTGGCGCGGAGCTCTCCGACGATCGGTACACATAAGCGGCCCTGGTATCTAAGGACTCCATCTCCAGTTAGCTCAAATAAAGGTTGTTGCTGTTGTGGAATACTTTCCCTCAGTTTTATAAGCTTAGGATCCTCGTGTTGTCGCTCTTTCACTTCAGTAACAAAAGAAGATTTTGCTATATTCTGAATGAGAATGCATCCACCCTCTGCGTCTACCAAACGCACCTGCAAATTAGCTAGCTGGCATAGATATTTGGTCATCTTGACCTTATCAGCTTCAATATGGCTTAGACTGCCCATGGACTTCCGGCTAAGGGCATCAGCAACAATATTAGCTTTGTCGGGATGATATAAAATATCAGCATCATAGTCCTTTAGTAATTATAGCCATCTTCTTTGTCGTAGGTTCAACTCCCTCTGTTTAAATAAATACTGAAGGCTTTGGTGGTCGGTGAAAACATCAATATGAACCCCATATAGATAATGCCGCCAAATCTTTAGGGCGAAGACAATTGCGGCTAACTCAAGATCGTGCGTAGGATAGTTCTGTTAATGTTTCCGCAACTGTCTTGAGGCGTACGCGATGACCTTACTATGCTGCATAAGAACACAACCTAGGCCAATTCTCGAAGCATCACAATAGACAACATAACCCTCGGTGCCATCCGGAAGAGTTAAGACAGGTGCCGTCGTAAGCCTTTTCTTTAGCTCCTGAAAACTTTTTTCACATGCCCCAGTCCACTGAAACTTAGCTCCCTTATGTGTGAGCTTCATCAATGGTGCAGAAATAGAGGAAAATCCTTCCACAAACCTTCGGTAATACCCTGCCAAGCCTAAAAAGCTACAAACCTCTGTCGGATTCAAGGGCCTCGGTCAAGTCATCACAGCTTCAATCTTTTGACCATCAACCTTGATACCATCACTGGTAATAACATGACTAAGAAAAGCTATAGAAGTTAGCCAAAATTCACATTTAGAGAATTTAGCATATAACCTGTAGTCCTGGAGAGTCCGCAATACAGCTCGCAAGTGATCCACATGCTCGGCTTCCGTTCGTGAATATATCAAGATATCATCAATAAACACAATCACAAATTCATCCAAGAATGGTTTAAATACCCAGTTCATAAGATCCATAAAGGCTGCTAGGGCATTTGTAAGCCCAAAAGACATGACAAAGAATTCGAAATGGCCATACCTCGTCCTAAATGATGTTTTTGGGATATCAATATCCCTGACTCGTAGCTGATGATAACCGGATCGCAAGTCGATCTTCGAAAAGCATTTGGCACCTTGTAACTGGTCGAACAAGTCATCAATCCGTGGAAGAGGGTACTTATTCTTGATAGTGACTTTATTTAGTTGCATGTAGTCAATACACATCCGCAAGGAGCCATCTCTCTTTCGAACAAAGAGCACCGGAGCACCCCATGGGGATGTACTTGGCCTAATAAAGCCTTTACCGAGCAAGTCCTTCAGTTGTTCCTTCAATTCCCTTAGCTCTGCAGGAGCCATTCTTTAGGGAGGAATGGATATAGGTTGCGTATCAGGAAGCAAATCTATCGCGAAATCAATTTCCCTTTCGGGGGGAATTCCTAGAAGCTCGTCAGGGAATACCATCGGGAATTCATTCACAATAGAAATCGATTGAAGAGTCGCTGGCTCCTTATCTATATCCCTGACATGAACCAGATGGTATATACAACCTTTAGCAATAAACTTCCGAGCCCTAAGGTATGAAGTAAACTTACCCTTGGGCGTGGCTGCATTACCTTTCCATTCAAGGACAGGCTCACCCGGAAAATGAAATCGGACCAACTTTGCACGACAATCAATATTAGCATAACAAACTGCCAACCAATCCATACCCATAATGACATCGAAGCCTAGCATAACCAATTCCACTAAATCAACAGAAGTTGGACGGTCATTAATTAACACTGTACAACCTCGATAGACATGATTAGCAATAATAGAGTCGCCAACTGGCGTAGATNTAAGTAACGATACCATTCCGCGCTTTAATACCTTAATGGGGTGGGAAGGGTAGAATATGGATATAATGACCGATGCGCTGCGACCCCTCTTCTGAGGAGTGATTACTGGATATTGCATCGAAGTGATCCATATTAATCACAAACCTAGGACCCCCTCCCTTTATTTGATTTCATATTTTCTTGTAAAACTATTCAAATCTTTTTTTTATTTTTTATAAAATTCTGCCCTCTCTACTTACCTTCAAAAGTTTTCAACCTAATTGCAATGTTGTATGCAAGTCCTTATTTGAGCCTTGATTGTTTATTTGTAAAGTCACAATTGTAACATGGTCGGGAACCACACTAGTGGATCTTGAGGGGTGCCTAACACCTTCCCCTCGAGATAATTTCTAGCCCTTACCCGAACTCTGGTTTTCCAACTCAAACCTT